TTCTTACATATTGAACTCAAATACCTGTACTTTCTACTTCTTACATATTGAACTCAAATACCTGTACTTTCTACTTCTTACATGTTGAACACAAATACCTGTACTTTCTACTTCTTACATGTTGAACTCAAATACCTGTACTTTCTACTTCTCACATGTTGAACACAAATACCTGTACTTTCTACTTCTTACATGTTGAACACAAATACCTGTACTTTCTACTTCTTACATGTTGAACTCAAATACCTGTACTTTCTACTTCTTACATGTTGAACACAAATACCTGTACTTTCTACTTCTTACATGTTGAACACAAATACCTGTACTTTCTACTTCTTACATTTTTAACACAAATACCTGTACTTTCTACTTCTTACATGTTGAACACAAATACCTGTACTTTCTACTTCTCACATTTTTAACACAAATACCTGTACTTTCTACTTCTTACATGTTGAACACAAATACCTGTACTTTCTACTTCTTACATGTTGAACTCAAATACCTGTACTTTCTACTTCTTACATGTTGAACACAAATACCTGTACTTTCTTACTTCTTACATGTTGAACTCAAATACCTGTACTTTCTACTTCTTACATGTTGAACTCAAATACCTGTACTTTCTACTTCTTACATGTTGAACACAAATACCTGTACTTTCTACTTCTTACATGTTGAACTCAAATACCTGTACTTTCTACTTCTTACATGTTGAACACAAATACCTGTACTTTCTACTTCTTACATGTTGAACTCAAATACCTGTACTTTCTACTTCTTACATGTTGAACACAATACCTGTACTTTCTACTTCTTACATGTTGAACTCAAATACCTGTACTTTCTACTTCTTACATGTTGAACACAAATACCTGTACTTTCTACTTCTCACATGTTGAACTCAAATACCTGTACTTTCTACTTCTTACATGTTGAACACAAATACCTGTACTTTCTACTTCTTACATGTTGAACACAAATACCTGTACTTTCTACTTCTTACATGTTGAACTCAAATACCTGTACTTTCTACTTCTTACATGTTGAACACAAATACTTGTACTTTCTACTTCTCTCATTTCCAAACAGCTGGTTCCTTTAGTCTGAATGTGTGTTTGGTGCGTGATCATTATTCTTTAGAGTCATTGCGTGCCTATTGATTTGAACACGATCCGTGTATCCATCATTTCCTGGTCTTCTCTAAAGAAGAGGGACCAATGGAAACGTTGTCATGTTGCCGTTGTTCAGCATGGAAACATTCATTAGCTAACAATGACATTATTGTTCTATTAATATAAAGGGAGGTCAGGTACTCTTTAAAGCAGCTGCTAGTTATGGGTACTTTTTACTGAAGAACATTTCAAAGCCTCTTTACTTTCACTTGAGTAAAGAAGTTTAGTCAGTACTTTCACCAGAGTATTTTGAAACACGAGTATCTGTACTTCTACTTGAGTAAAGGATGTGTGTACTTTTGCCATCGCTGCTATCCAGTACGTTAAAGTTCACCTTAAATTCTTGTAATGATCCAAAATGACTTTTTACCTGGTGCGCCAGCAGAGGGAGCCGTACTGAGTCCAATGACTGCTGTTGTGGTGGGATTCAAAGGGTCAGTGGAAGCTAATTACAAAAATAACTTTGTTTAGTCATGCATATAGATTTGGTTGAACTTGCCCAGGTGAGGAGATTCACTCTATAGTAAAAAAACATTTGGAAAACCCATGTGTGATTATTTTGATCCCAAAGCCAAACGTATTAATCTCTGCAGGATGGATGCCTCCAGGAAAAAAATATCAATAAATGACTTAATTAATACCTTTAACTGCAATTAAATACTGAAAATAATATTTAGATAAAAGTGGTAATACAGTCATTAGTTATCTATGCATTTATCTTTGTATTAAATCCATTTATTTTACAGAGCAATCCTGTAGAAAATGACTAAATAAACGGTAGGAAAATACAAAAATAAAATAAATAAATAATGCATGAATAATTAAATACATTTAAAAATGAATTAATATGTAAAAAGGTAAAATAAAAGGGTACATTCAATTGGAACTTAAATTAATACAGGAATCAATAATAGAAATACATATTAAACTAAAATATGAATGTATGTAACCTTTGTTTGATTTAATAATGCATACAATTATATTTTGGAACATTTGATCGCTTATTTATTTAAAGAGTCATTTATTTTTTCATTTATTTTTTTATTTGAGCAGATCTCATCCTGCATATTAATCTATAACAGCTCCATCTCTTCTGGTTTCAGGCTTTCCAGTGTCATGTTGTTTTTCATTTGGTTTAACCGCCCCTTTATATATACTCTCACACATTCCTCCATCATGTCAGCTACTGTATACCCATGCACAGTAGTACATGTTAGTTGTTGTTCTGCAGGTGTTGTGGTGGCAGCAGATCATTCCTGCTACACACGTCACACTTTAGGGTTTCTACTTTCAGCATGCCAGCACTGTGAGGTTCACCGCCACCGAACCTTTCTTCTCCTCCTCCTTCGCCCCGCCAAGACAAGGGCAAGAGCCAAAATGGAGTTCACCACCACAGGAGCCACACAGACACACCCCTGCCTGTACAGTCACACACACACACACACACACACACACACACACACACACACACACACACACACACACACACACACACACACACACACACACACACACACACACACACACACACACACACACACACACACACACACACACACACCCTGTGTCAGACACACCCCGTGGCTTCTGCGTCAGAAATGCCCCGAGGTAAGACAAAACACAGTTCCTCGTGCAAAACAAAAAAGACTTCAAAGAGTGAAGGAGTGGAAGGTCTTGCTCATCAGTGAGAAGGGAAAGAAGATGGAGCTTCAGACCATGAGAAACCAAGACATTGCAAGAACAGACTTGAAGTTAGATACATTTTAAGGCATTTAGTCGATGGTTTTTAACACTATTTATGTCAAATAAGTGAGATAACAAGAAGAGGTATCATGCTATTGGACAACGTGACTGTATCCAGAAAAACATCTTCCATTTCTTGCACATACATTAAACCCTAAGAATTGGTTGTTTGTTTGTTTTTTTTAAATGTTCTAAGTTTAATGAAACACGATTCATGCTAATTAGCAACCTCTTGGTTTTCTGTATTTATACTAAAGTTAAGCTTTTGGAGTTGTTTTTTAATTTTGAATGCAAAAATGTCATTTGTCTTTCTGGATTGTTTCAGTTACCATCATCTTACTTTTTGTAGCTCAACACTGTAAATAAACATTCCTCTTTCAATGGTCCTTTGGGACGAAATAAAGGTTAATGATGTACAGTGCAGTGTAAAGACTCTCTGTGGTGATGTCAGAAGTTACAGTGATGTCCTCTGGGAAATCAGGGAGTTGAGGGTAGAAAAGTCAATGGATCTGAACCAGCTGTCTATCATTAAAAACAGGTACTTTTACCCTGCGATGGCACTGAATGTGTGTAAACACTTGTTACCGCACATCCATGTCAGGTTTCACACAGATGTCACAGATCCCCCCCCCCATCACTCATCCACCACTTGAACACTCTCGTCCTCTGTCTGTCTCATTAAAGCCTCACGTGTCAGTGCGTCCGTCAGAAAGTGAGTGCAAACAGCCGTTTGTGCCGCTGTAGCCATTCATTCTCCATCCACACTGTTATCAGGGTTTCCAGTCTCATTCCGTACTGCCCTCCTTTCAGGAAGTGGGACAAAGGCTTTTTTTTTGTTCTGGCCACTGTGATTCATGGCTGAGACACACACACACACACACACACACACACACACGGCTGAGTGAGCCGTTTTAACTTGACTAACCCAAGTAGTCTGAGTCAGGTGGAAGTTGGAGAAGAATTCCCTGTGACCTTTTCTGTTAAATGTTTAACATCGGTGCTCTATTAATGGCCAGCCAAGGCACATTATTTGCCCATGTTGTGCTGTAAAATGTGCTTAATCATTGGTTTGAAGCCCTTTCTTCAGAGTGTGGTTGAAGCATTTTCCAAGTTCCTCCAAACCAAGTAAGGAGTAATGAGTTAACATGTTAATAGTGTAGGTTAGCACACAAACAACCATATCAAACAACAGAAAATAGATCATTACGAGTCATTTCAAGTTATATGAGGTTATGAATAGAGGAATGTAGTAAAAATCTACTCAAGTATAATTTTGAGATACTTGTACTTTACCTGAGTATTTGATTTGTATTCTAGTTCATACTTCTATTCCACTACATTTATTTAGATGCAGATTATTAGCTTATACAAATAGATCAGCTAATAAATAAACATTGTTGTATAATTATAGGTTAAGATATCCAGCAGTTAAGTCATTAATTATTATTTATATATGCTTCTGAAATATTACACTACGCATAACAAGTACTTTTACCTTTGGGACGTATATTTGATAACACTTTTGTAGCCTACTCATAATAAAGTAAGATTTTGATTGCAGGACTTTTACTTGGAACAGAGTATTTTTTCATTTTCTTATTGCTACTTTCACTCAAGTAAAGTTTGTTTTAGGACTTTTTCCACCATCGGTTGTCGTACAGAAAAAAGGCATTACATTAGGAATAAACGTGCCTTCACATATATATATATATAAAGAATTCAGCTCACCCAGCTTTTTTTAAAACGAATATATCTGCATGAGTGTTGTTCTTGTTATGAGTTTGTATCTTCATGGTCTATTGTCTTTATTGTAAATCGCTTTGGATAACCGCCTCAGCTAATTGAAATGTAATGTCTTTGAACATCCGGCTGCTCCTGTTGTAATTGGCGGTTCTGTACCAAATGATTACCACTAACTAGATCTCATAATTTACCCTTTCCTCGGTTTTCCTATCTGCCTTCTTTCCTACCTGTGTGGGTTCGTCTCACCTGAAGACAGCCAGGAGCCGCAGCAGCACCTGGACGCGTCACAGGGTTTGGAGAGAAAGGGGGCGGAGCTTTACCCACAGCCAGAGCGAGGATCAGTGAGCGCGCGGCAGCAGCAGCAGCGTGTTTCTGCTGGATGCAGTCATTCAATCTGTGGTGAGACTCACAGCTTCCAGGTGGCGATCAACTAACTACAGTGTAGCTACAGTGAGAAACAGCCACACATCTGACTGAGAAGAAAATAATCGGAGTTATATTTCTGGGAATTTGTCATTTCACGAAGAAGAATAATAGAAAATCCCCAGCGATCAGTTTGGACTTGATGAGAAAGTTAAGAAGTCCCGCTCTTGAGGATCCCAGCGGAATATGATTTGAATTAAAGGAACTTACTACACTGTTGCTCGCGAACAGGTGAGTTTATTCCACATTAATGTTATGTTCTTGACTTTACTAACACTTTGATTCCGTGCGTAAACACGCAGCAAACCTGTCCCTGAAACTCCTCACTCTCCTCCTCTCCTGATATCACAGTCAGTTTTTTAAATGTTTTTTCAGGCTCATTGACACCATTTCACCAGCTTCCCATACGTGTTTTCTGAAACCTTTCGCCATGAGTCACTTTCCTCTCAAACTGAAAACATTTTCTCTGTTTCCCACCGCCTTTTGTCCCTTTTAAAAAAACACAGCTGTGCCATGAGGAGTCACTTTTTATTGTGTTTTGTGCAGGTGCGCAACAATGCCAACTATTACTCATAATTTTACACCAAAACAAGACGGAACTCATCTCACTATGTCCTTGATAAAAGAAAACTGACTATAATACTGTGTTAATGTTCTTTAAAACAATAGTGTATGTATTTTAGATTCTATATTTACACTACTTTCATCCTTGTTTTCGACTTTGTCTCCATAATCCTCGTATAGGTTTCCCGTAGTCACCTTTAAATTGGCACTTAGGCCTATAAGTAATATATTTGAGATTTTTTTCTTTTTAAATAAGCACCTGTTAGGTTTGTCTGTCTTTGTTAACTCTCCCTGAAACTCTGTTCTAATATAAACCTGAGCTTTCTTCCTCTTACTGGCACTTAAAAGTACTAACAGTGAGACATCCGTTTTAAATTGTTCAAAATGTGCACACGGGGAATCTCAGTGATTTAATGAAACACTGTGGGCATGAATGCAAAAACCAAAGCCACTGCGCTGGACGTTATTGCCTTGTTTTGGTTTGCATTTGGTGTTAAAACCACATGCAGATAGGGGAGCATGCAAATTCACATTTTGCACATTCTCTGGTGTTGTTCTCCCTTGATCCCCCCCCGCCCCCCCTCCTCTAAAAGCATCTCCCAGTGGATTACCACTTACTTGCTGGGGTTATTTATCATTTTGCAGGATGGTCCCCCTTTGCCGTCTCCCTGCAGCCTCTTTTGTTTTAATTAAGTGTATCGCTGCTCCCTCGGGCCCTCGCTGTCTAAACTTAGGCTGGTGGTGGCTCTCTGGGTGATTCACTGCTCTGCCTCTCGCTGTGGTCACTTGGGAACGGAGCTGAGCGCCGCAGAAGTGCTCACCCAGGTCCCACTGCTGGTCTGTCTTGGGTCATTGCAGTCCGGAGTAGAAGCAGCCAAGATTAGGAGGCTGATATTAAAGCTTTGTGTCACCATATCACTCTTAGTCACTTCAGTATGAATGCTTTCACTGCTTGTGGTGAAGTGAGTAAACCCTGGTTTCATACTCTGACACAGTTCCATTTATGAGTCTCAACAGGGATTTAGATATCCCTTTCTTTTTCTCCTGTGGTCCCTTTTCAGCGCCTTTTCCCGCTCACTCCAGACAATTGAGGCCACCTATTCAAAGATATTCATGAGGAATCTTTTGTGTTCCAGAAGGGATATATGACCCACTAATTTCTCATGTCTTTTATTTCTGGAACAGGATGAATCCCCGCTTGCTTCATGCCGTCATGCTGCTGTGGGTCTTGTGCTCCAGTGTGCAGGGCCAGTGTGATAAATCACCCGAGACCAACAAACTCAACCTCTCGGTGAACTACGAGCTCCCGACGTTCACGGCAGACTTCCCGATCCAGAACATGGTGACGCTGGATGGGATCATCTATGTTGGGGCTGTAAACAGGATCTATGCCTTGGCACCGAACCTCACAAAGTTGTCAGAATACCACACGGGGCCGCTGCTTTCCAACGAGACCTGTGGCCAGACATTAACAGGCGCTAGCAGTGGCAGCAAGGTGGACAACCACAACATTGCTTTGGTGGTGGAGAACATCTACGACAAAGGGTTGTACAGCTGCGGATCGGCAGACAATGGCGTTTGCCGGCGTCACGTCCTCGATGAAGACACTAGCCCGAAAACCGTCGACGAACACGTCTACTGCTTCGCCGACAAAGTGAGGAAAGGCAAAGGTCAACCCATCGACTCGGATGTTGTTGTGAGTGCTTCAGGCTCTCAGGTGCTTAATGTGGAGAGCAACTTCATCACGTTCTTCGTCGGGAACTCCGAGATCCCAGGGACAGGAAACGTATCGGACAGTGCAACTCATCCCCATACCATCTCTCTTCGGAAGATGAAGACGAGCCAGAACGGCTTCACCTTCTACTCAGACCTCTCGTACATGGACCTGATTCCACCGCTACGAGGAAACTACTACCTGCGATATGTTTACTCCTTCCACAGTGGACCGTTCACCTACTTCCTGACGGTGCAGCGGGTGAGCATGGACTCCGAGGCCTACCACACCCGCATCGTCCGGATGTGCTCCTCGGACCACGTGATCCGCCGATACGTTGAGATGCCCCTCGAATGCATCAGCACCGATAAAAGGCGACGACGCTCGCCGGAAATTGACACGGTTTTTAACATCCTCCAGGCAGCAAACGTCACCAAGGTGGGGAATGACGTTGAGCTGCAGAAACAGCTGAAGGTGGAGAAAGGCGACGACGTGTTGTTCGCAGCGTTTGCTCAGGGGAAGCCGAACTCTCCGGAGCCGACAGCGAACTCAGCCGTCTGCATCATGTCCCTGAAACACATCAACAACATGTTCAAGTTCTACATGCAGAGGTGCCACACAGTGGACCCGTTTCACTTCACAGGATCTAACAAGAAGTCCTGCTACAATGCGGTGAGTAATGAAAGGGGGCGGGGCTTACTGTGCCGTGGTAGCCATTGTAGAACTTTTACATTGCATTTGTTTTCTTGGAGGAAATGCTATTTTCTTTTTTAATAATCATGAATATTCAAAACATTTCTAGCAAATGTCTTTTTTTTGCTTCTTCTTTTAAGTTGTGATACATTTTCACCAATTATTTTGGGGTAAAATAACCCAGAAAGTGGTGTAACTGCACTCATGTGTGAATGCAACCTCTACAATGGTTTCTTCTGTGTGAATATGTACATGTGTGACACTTTTTAACAGTCAGTAGAGAGAAGGATACGTTTACAGCTGCAACACTTGGTACTGTACGGTTCAAACATGATTACAATGCATTTAAAATGACTCGTAGTCCAGGTAATGTGTCTTTCTGTGATGCCAAACACTAACACTTTGCCCAGGAACTGTATTTTAGACATTTCAGTCATAACCTTTGATGAAGTGATGTTCATTGCATCCAAGAGAGAAAACAAGTCCAAGTCTCTGCAGCAGAGGAGTCATCATGAATTGGTTTTACGACTTCTTTCAGACACATAAAATAAGCCTCTATCAGTCATCTGTTGTACATGCTTCGCTTGGTTGGTTTTTATCTTTAGAGTTATAGGCTTTGCTGTTTATTCAGCACAAGCAGGTTGTATTGTTGGCTGGAGAGACTGTCTCAGGAACTGGGTGGTCTCAGGTTGAGACGGTGTGTCTACTGGACCTTGTATCATTGTTTTCAAGTGTCCTTGAGCAAGACACTGAAGCATGACCCACTATTGACCTCTGACCCCTCTGCTACAGAGCATACATGTAAGACTGCATCGTAGGTACATGTGAAGAAACAGTCCTGATTACAGTGTGTTTTTAATAGGATATTTCATGAGATAAAAGACATTTTACATTCTCATGATTGTCGATTTGAAATGGCATCTGTTTCACAGTGTTGGCTCTGCACTGCGCACATTGTATTCAACATTAAACAACAACTTTCAGCTTTGGTTTGAGGCGGTGAATATGCATATTTGGTGAATATTGTAGGCATCCTTTTAGCAGTACAATGGTCCTAAATGTCCAGACAAGAACGGTAAAAATGTCTTGAGTGGTTGGGTCACATGACCTCAATACAACTGGTCATTATGTATAGGGCTGTGTAATTAATTAAACATCTTTCCAAAATCACATTATGGACTAGTGCAGCATTGAAATTGCAGTAGGCACAATATTTGGTAAAGGAAAACATCGTGAAAATACCTCTTCTGAATTAACGGTCCAAGTATTTAAACTGTATTTTACTGACTAAAAATGTCATTTCATTTTACAATTTCAATATCTGTCAGAAGACGTGCAAGACTTTTAAATCATGCAACCTTAAGTTTAAAATGTGTGAAGATTGGGGGCAAAAAGCCAGTTAATAATGCTGAAAATGAAAAGGGATGTAGCACAGGTCTGGCAGAACATCACAAGGGGAAGATAGCTGTATTTGCGTTGGAGAGGATTTGAAAATATGTACTAATATCGATGTATTCCCCCTGAAATGAAAGCAGAAAGTCAGCACAATTCATATGCAATGCACTGAAGTACCGCCCCCCCCCCCCTGCAGTTGTTACCTTCCCTGTAGTCACTCACCTCCTATCCATCAACATGGACTCAATCAATTAGCTGAATCACCTGATCAATAAGGACATGAAGTTAACGGCAGACCACCCTGTCAAAGGGTCCCCCCCCCCCCTTCATCTTTACTTAACCTCAGCATCAGTCCCTACTCTATCACAGCCGGGCAGTGGATTAGCTGAGTCCCCGCGATGTATTATACACTGAATTATGTTTTAAAGGGCAAGCACACACAGGAGTAGATCCAGAGTCCTGAGCAAACAACCAGCTGAATACTGACGAAGGCTTCTGTCAAAACACTGTGTTACTATGCAGGCTACTTTCTGTATGATGAACTAGTTTCAACACCACCTCGTTGTGGGGTAATTTATTGCTGCAGTTGCTTGGCTGCTAATCACACTTATGCACCATCTCAGATTGGGTGTGACGGTATTTTTGGCCACATTAACTATTTGACAATAACTCCCATGTAGCCTACTTCAACATACACACACTTAATTTCCTTTTTGCAGGAAGTTAATAATCCCTTCTCTAATATATATTTTACATTGCTGTGAAATCATCGCCTTCATAGAACTGTCTTTATTCAAGATTACATTTGAGCACATCATGATAACATTATATTTGACATGGATAAACACTTTTAACTGAATAGTGCTCGTGTTGTTTACATTATAGCTTAAACAGGGAAGACAATTCAGATTGAAATGCACCCATAGTGAGTCTCCCTCGTCCTTTCAGATTTGTTATGCCCTGACGGGACGCTGTTAGTCGCATTTCTTACATTGAAGCATTGACTTGGTGCCAAAGTATCAGTTCTTGTGTGCACAGCCAATCATTTTTGAAAACCATGCTGCTCAGTTTTAAACATGTCCAGCATCTTCTACTATTTCAGACATCCATTGGTTGGTATGAAAATCAGCCGACTCTTGAGTCCAGAGTCTCAGATTTCATAACAGCAAGTCTCTTAAATGTTCTTGTTTACCTCTTGCAAACACACTTAAGTAAACATTCAATCTCAATGATCGTTGTCTGTAACCTTGAAGCCTGAAACACCCTCAATGTTTTTTCTTTACATATTTTCATTTTTTACTTCCATGAATCAGCTCGTCTTTTCTCTGGTGCTTTGTTTTCTGATTGCTTGTTTTTTTGGGAAGTAATCTCCACTTAATGTCCATCATGTATTTCATGACCCGCCTGTTCATGTTGGCACATGTGCATCTTCCTTGGCAAGCTGCTAGAACACCACATTTAAAATAAACGGGGAACTTGATGGATTACACAACTCGAGTCGACTAAGTGCTTCTCATACTGTCCAGAAAAAAATTGAAACTGCTCGGAAAGCTTACAGAAACCCAAAACTGTAGAGCATGCATTGCAAATAAGTTGCATAGTCTCAGAATAATAATGATAATGATAGATTGCATTGGTGTAGCGCCTTTCAAGGGACCCAAGGCCGCTTTACATGGTGAACAAACAATCAAACAAAAAGCAGGGGGACTGTGATGGGTTGGGGTCAAAGAAAAAGTAGTTGATTTGAAAGACACAGGCTGCAGTTAAGACATCACACATGGAAAGTGACTAGTGGTTCTTATAAAGGGGTTGAAAGCAGCATGACGGGTGTTTGGGAACATCAGCTCAGAGGCGTAGATCCGCAGGGGACAGGGAGGAATGCTGGGAGCCGGGGGGGGGGTGGTTCGGGGGCATTGCATATCTGACTCTCAGCGAGCCGTGATGAATGGCTCGGGGATAACAGGGCATCAGCAGCTGGGCGGAAGATGATCCTCCTCGTACCCCCCTCACTCTCCGAACCCCCCACCTGTTACAGCACCAGTGGGAAAGTGGAAGTCCACCACCCATCAGAGGCTGCACTGACCTCACCACCTTCAGCAAACGTACAAAAACTCACCTCTTCAAACTACAATGTTTTATTGCTCGATTTTAACGTGACTTTTACTATATGTATTTGTCCTTTTTTACTACCTCTGTAAAGCGAATTTGAGCACCTGTAAAAACGCTTACAAAATAAATGTATTACTATTTTTAAGTCGCATCAGTAACACCGAGGAGACGTTTTATTTATCCGGGTGGATGTTTTGATTGGGGACGATCCAGATTGATATTTTATATGATCGACATTTTGAGGCATCACATCTTAAAATGGCTTCTTGTTGTATCTGTGGTTCATTAGAGGGTCTATTTACGAAAGGACACAACTGTTGATGGGCTTTTCAAGTCTTTGCAACCTCTTAAAGCTGTTAAACATAAAAAAGTCATTATTCAGACATTCAAACACATTGGGCATTTGTCATTCATTGTTGCTCCTTCTGAGGCTGCTCAAGCTTTTTTAGTACACCGTAGGTTTATGTATATTTTTTGGGAGTTTGACATTATACAAATGGTATATGCAGTATGCTATATAATGGCACACCAACACATTTGGGGTTCGGTATCTTTCCCAAGGACACTTTGACGTGCAAAGTCCACATTGAGCAGGGCTGGTTATCGAACTGTTGAACGACCACTCTACCTCAGTCGTCCCAACTTGGAAGAAACCTTTTTGTAACTCGACATAAATCATTGTGGCGTATTTTGGATGTTTTTTTGTCACGATGTAGAAAAAAAAAAGCTGGAAACAGTTGACGACCCTCAGGCAGGGCTTCTGGCGTCTTTGGTGAACAGATGTGAGAAGATTAGTCTGATGTCATCCACAAGTCAGAAGCAGCTGTATTCTGATTGCTCACAGAGGGTGTGGAGCTACTGTGCATGGGATCAAAGCAAAAACCACCCTGTTGCAAGGAACAAATCAAGATGGCGCCTCAGTGGTTTGGTGCTCTCTGTCTTGTTTAATGTGTTTGCATACATTGAGATATTTCACCAGGGAAGAGCACCTATAGTTTTCTATCTGTGTTTAATTCTTGTTTTACTTGTATGTATGCACCACAACACCAAGTCAAATTCCTCGTGTCAACCTACCTGGTGATCAACCTGTTTCTGACCCTAAAACAGCTCAAAGCTTCGTGCCGCTGCGGCTTCAGACTATTTAACAAGACTTTCACTTCAACAAACGCTGAGAACACCTTCCCTCCTGAAACCCCAAACAGTGATTGTCTGCTCCCTCCTCTTTGACGGATCGCTCGGAGAGAGAGTCTGCTGTTCCACTATTAAAAATTCTTTCCTCTTGACTCACTTGATTACTAGGTCGACGTGAAGAATGCTACTTTTGCAAGGGTTGCAGGAGCATCTCCGTGGCGTATAATTATCATAGATCCTTCCGTTGCTAACTCTGGAACACCTTGAACACAAGATGGTTCACGTCAAGGGTTCTATCTCAGTAGATGCGTAAACAAATGATAAACAATATGTTACATATAAGT